CAGCGGGCTTGGCATCCCTCAGGACTGCAGCCCTAAAACCTTCAGCCTCGTTCAGAACCGCTACTGATTCGTAGCTCTCTCAGTTAGACCCCTCTAGAGAGGCTAGTGCTAGCCAGACTAAGACCCCTCTATCAACGACAGTCTCTGTATCCTCACGTCATCCATACCCATCCCGCCGAGCACCATCCAAAGCCAACAACTTGAACCCAAATTTGGCCAACTCTCTCTTTCTTCTCTTTCCCAATCTGGCCTGGTCCTAACATGCTTCTCTCCCTTAGTCATGACGTACACTCTCCAAACCTCATCGTATAGTATACGGCTCTGGTGATGAAGAGAGGGAAGGAGCAGTGGATGAGAGTCTGCTTGAGGACTCTGGTATGGACCACCACTCCAGATCGAGCTCTAGTTATCTTCTACTAAGCCAGGTAGCTGCCTGACTGATTTCTTAATTTTTCATCCGTCTTGTCATTTACACCTTTATCCATATTTCATTAATCTCATAGAATCCCGATTTAATCATGCACAGAGGTAGTTATGCTTTTTCCTTTTTTTGTAATTTGGAAACAGAAGTCTTAAGCTCATTTTCCGTGTTCAGTCTGCTAACCAGACTGATTTAACACAATTCTCCAAATCCTGTACCCTCCCGCCTAGCCATATATACATTACTGGCGCCTTTGCTTTCTTTTTTTTTTTAAATACTCATTACTCCTATGCGGTCCCAATAAGGGGGAGCATGAGGAGCAAAAATTACTGGCGTCGGCCTGCTCAGGCCCAACGCCCAGAAAGAAACCTCCCAACGCCTCTCCAAAATCCCACCACCGGTCCCAAACATCCACGGTCCTTTGGTCCCTGTCCAAGGGGTACCAGTACTGGCACCCCTTCGGTCTCCGCTCCTGGGAGCGGAGTAGGGGATTGGCCCAAAGCATTTGGGCCGCCGTGGATTCCTTCCGAATTCGCTCGATATCTCTCTTGAGCGAAGTTCCTCTCAATTGTCGGGAGAGGTGGTGGGAACAGAGAGTAACCTGTCTCCCCTCTGACGTTCGATTTTGAACGTTGACCCCTAAGGCCAGGGGGAGGCAGGTTACTCTCAGAGCCGCAAGTGCATACGGCTCGTGGTGGCCGGGCGATCGGGGGGTCGCCCTCTGGGAGGGAAAAGATGCTGCCCTGGGTCCCCGATGCCCAGGTGTATGTGCTCGAGTACTGGTACCCACTGTCACCGAGCACATAAGCGTGACGGTGGGTTTCGAGTTGTCGGCGGGAGGGCTCACCCCGCCTTGGGTTTGAGCGAGATGGCTCGCCCACCGGTGCTCTTGGAATCCTCCACTCAAGCCCGGCCGCTTGAGTGGCTCCATTTTCTGACGGTACTGCGAAGGCCGCGCGGGCCCCCACCAGTATTTCCTCCGTCTCCAGACGTGTCTGGGTTCGCACGAGCTCGTCCAGCTCGGTTTCCAATGCGAACCCCTGGGGATTGTATTAGCCTTCTATAATCCTTCGGCACTAACCAGGGATTTAGACTTACATCTGTGGTCATGGCTGATTCCCGGTTAGCCATACCCGGGTCTCTCTTGAATCTCTCAGCCGAACGATGTCACGGTGACTTCGATGGCTGAATGCGAAGGCAGTTTTGCGAGTTTTGCTTAACGTTCGCAGACTCCTAAAGCATGGGATATCAAGAAGAGATTAACTCGGGTACCGGAAAACCCGATATATATATATAGTGGCGCAACCAAATGCGGTCAGATAATAATAAGGAGGGCTGACTCGTATAACGTAGAGCTGACTCGCATCTGCCAGCCTCTGGTGCTGTGTGGGCGAATGCCCATTTCGTGATGGTATGTATATCTGATGCAATTCGGACAACAAGTTTCAGGAAGGTGTACAGTCGGTCCCACACTCAAGCACGAGATTGCTGTGTTTCTCTCTGAGCAAGAGCAGCATATACATACCTGGTGTTCTGAGTTAAAAGAGTTTTAAAAACCACAGGCAATGTACGATGTTTCACTTACCGGCAAAGATTTGAACCTCACAAGGCCAACGGGCGTTTCCAAACATGTCGAGTACGCAATCGCTATTGTGGAAGAAAGAAAACAACTGACAGTCTTCTTCACGATAGAAGATGCGGTGCGACGGTGAGCTGTTTTAAGAACCAAATCGAAGGCACTACACCAGCGAGATATCCACGAACAAGATGTCGAGCAACCAGCACGTTTCCCTGTGCCCTGGTCTCATTGGTTAATGTTATCATCCAACTATTCCCAGAGCCTGAATCAACAACAGTGGGAGTGAGATCTCTGTGACTGCATGACTGAAAAGCAAAAGAGAATCTCCTGGGTCTCTCCTCAAGTGCCAGAAAATTGACGGTATGCAATCTGCTGCGTATACGTATGACGTCTTCCGGGAACCCGCATGGCACGTGGGTATGTCTAGAGTAACAACACTCCATGGAACCTTCTAAACACACAAAAACCACAGGTAGAGAAGCAGTCGAATACATTTACTGGCTCGAAATTCTGTCCCCGTATCTGGCTTAGCAGTAGTAGGCTCACTATCTGGCGGCTGAAGGTTCGAGCGAGATATACGATCGGCGCTTATGCAGTGGATTGCTTCGTTCAGTATCCACATTCCCGAAACGCAAATACAATTTGTGAGACCCGTTCTGATAGCTACTGATGGTTACAATTGAAGCATGCGGCGCTTATTCCATGACCGCCTCCGGCGCCTCGCGACGAGTTTTGTATGTTACCTATACCGCTGCGGTGTATTCTTGGACGGAGTCTAATAATTTCTGCCCCCGCGAACGGTTTAACTCGCTGCCCAGTTTTTAGTTCCTCGGGCTTTGGGGAGTACCACTAGCGAGGCAAATATCTTTCTTTTGACTGATATCGAAACGCTAGCAAATGCATGATGTTTTGAATATCTGCTTGGCCTTCCTTTCTCGCTCGCCGGTTGCTAGTGGATGCTACATTGATTTATAACTCTTACTATGACTGCGGGCGAAAGTGGTTCACTAACTTCATCAATAACTCCTCCCATCTATAAGAAACAAAATATTCACTAGCACTTTTACCCAATATGGTCCGAACTGAGGTTATGCTGGACCGGGTAGATTCATGGGCTGAGAAAATACAATTCCGGAAAAAAATCCTGTGTGCCCTTCTAGGGATGTACATACTTATTCTCCCCCACCCCACATCGGGCGGCCGCCCCTGTGAGGAAACTGTCACCCCGATGGATAAGAGATATCTCACCAAGTTTATTTATTTGCCAGGTCTGTGTCATTGCAGAATGTTCATGATATCACGCAGAAATGGCTCGTGCTCGACGGGGCGAGATATGTTTGGTCCAAACTGCCCCCTTGGCACTGCTGGGCGACCATTTGAAATCGCTTCATATGAGTTTTTGGGGGGGAGGCAGTTCGGCCTATCCCAATCTGGAAACCTTCGCTTCAAGAGGTGGAACTAGTGATTACGCGTCACAGCTCTGCGATCCTATGGGAACTCGGGGCTGCACTAACTTTCCACCATGCATGAAGCAACTGAGACTGTTCTTGGAGTTCACGGCCATGTGTTCCTAGTCGGGTACGCTTCTGAAGCAGGTTTGTAAGTACGTCCTATTATCCTATGTACTACGTCCACCACACCGCTCTGGCTTACAAGTGCCCTTGCCACACAGGATGCTGCGCAAATTCAAATGGCTACATACCTCACATCTTCTTCCTAGAGTCACACAACCTGCTTGAGGTAGGTGACCTCGATGGCTCAGATCTTGACATTGCGAAGTAGGCTTAGATGCCACGACCCTGAGAGGATCATGGCTTTGGTTCAACACTCGCCTACGGGCAAGAATTCTTCTTCATACAAAAGCAGGAAATCTGATTTGTAGGCGACGCCCTCCCCGTAGCAAAATGCTTCGTATCGAAGCTGCAAGGCAAAATCCACAACCCAGACAGACTTGCTGAGAAGGGGTTGTGATGCACAGCAACAAAAAATTACACTACATTGGTCACGACCATCTGAGGGAGTTGGTACTACAGTACTGTACATACACCTGTATCTGACTGTCATAACATATCAGTTCATACACTGCACACAAATCAATGAATATACATCTTATGATAGACAGTCCTTAGAAACACAAAAACCATACTTTTGGGGATCGGTATGGAGGCGCATACAACTCCCCTTTTCAACCTGCTTTCCGCTTCTCGCCGTCATCACGTACGCATCTCCACGCCGGAGAGGGGTTCGAGATTCAATAAGGAGCGTGAAGAAAAGGAGTGGGAGAGGGTTTTTCTCACGAAGTCATGATCATGCGAGGGATTTGTGTTTTCTAAACCTACGGGAAAACTGTGAACCTAATCTTATTTACGCTAGATGATATTCATTGTATAATATTCATTGTTGTCTCGCTGAGGCTGGCGGTAGGGCCATGGAAAATTTCTCTGGGTTACCCAAGTGCAGTATTTCAATAATTGGTTACATACCCGAGAATATATATGTACATATACCAAACATTGATTCCCATGCGTAACACAACTATTGCAGTAGCTATTAGGAATCCTGAATGTAACTGTATTACATTCATTATCCCTTGTTGGAAGAACTGTTTGCACACAGACAGAGTATTTTTATCCATAAACATTTTTCACACAATTTTTTTTTTTTTTTTCCCTCCGTATTTAAGGCATGTCTAGGAGGATTGGTTCCACTGAATAATAATGATTACAAGCGAGCATTATTAGACGCCTTCATGGTACAAATCAGAAAGCCAGTTACAAAACTGTCTATCATCACCATCATCACATCGAACGTTCAACTGCAAAACTGCAAACATTACAATTAGAAATTACATTCCGCCTATAGTCAGACACTCGAGTATTTATTCAAATCTCCAGCACCATCTAGTCGTCATGACCACACCACTGCATAGGCTAGTCAACTCTGTAGACAAAATATGTAGAACTACATACAGACAACTAAAACAAAAGCAAAAGAATTTGACGACGTCGACAAGACTCGAACTTGCGCACGCAGAACGTAAGTGATGTTTACTAATGCCACAGCATGTTCTAATCACTCCCCTTAACCACTCGGGCACGACGTCAGTTTGATGTTTCTTGGCCATGTCGAATGTATTCGCGAAGTCGTCAGCGCCTGCTACTTTATTTAGTACCAGAGAGATTATGTACAGAAATTTACACGTAATCCGTATACAGCCAAAAATTGAAAATATTTATTTAATTATTAATTAAATTGATTAAATATAGAAATCAAACCCTTGCCACAATAGTCATAAGTTATTAGTCAGCAGTTTCTCGTGCAGATCCTTTGGCATGAGACTACTACATACATACCTACCTAGGTCCATTGAAATGAAAATACATAGACCCACGGCTAATCTCATGGTCAACTACATCACATTGTCAGCGAATGGAGTAGAATTCAATAGAAGCTCCTTATACAAATGCTTAGTCATTCGCAATTCCCGGTGCTTAGACAAATATGTCTTACAACCAAATCAACTGCGGCTCACGATGATTTTTCATCAGGAAGTGATTAATACCGCATCGCAAGCGCTCTCCCAGTGAAATGGCATACCAAGGGACCTCACCGAACAATAAGCCGGCTTCAGGTGTAAGGCTGAAATGAAGCGAGACTCAGAATACCGGTACGGTACTGTACTAGGGTCCTGTATGCGTGGCAAGTGAGTGACATTTAGAGCTATGAAACTGCCTTCATGTTCACTAATCATTCTTGTCAGCTTTCAAGTAACAGGGATATCGAAACTCTTAACTTACACATAAAATTAAACGTTCCACGGAACGTCCGGAGGCCGGGTATAAGGGCGTCACTACCCAGCACGTACCGTACCTTCATGAATCTGCAGCGAAATTCCTACTGATCGCCGATTGCCTGATTCCAGTCGCACAAAGACGGTCCACCGAATAAGTTCCAAATCTAGTTACTTACCCCATCCAGCCAGATGTCCACCTAAAAAAAGCTTTACCTGACACCCCTGTCCCCATCAAACCTCCAGCCGTCTGGTTACCGGCCACATGTTGTACAAACAGGGGTGCTTCCTGTGCGGAGCAGGGTGGAGGTACCAGTAAGTGGAAATGTGCTGCTTGGATTATTAATTGCATCCTTTAGCCAGGGAAGGTGGAACAAGAAGAATCCCCTTTTATAACTATCATTAATAGGTACTGCTCCGAGAAGCCTAACTAGTCCCAATAACTCCATCATATCGAGCAGACTCAAGTGCCAAAATTATTAGTAGACCATAGCCAATTATACCAAAATTGAATGTATCATCTATCCGATAGACCTCTTTCCCTACTCATTTTATGAACACTTATGCATACAACAACTTAGGCCTTGGCTTCATCGCACTGGTGCAGCTGGAAAACCTCCACATTCTTCTGTTGGGAAACCAAAGGACATTCTTGAGCATGAACTTGAGAGGTGCTGGTGCTGAGGGGAAATCCTTATGGATCCCATCTTCGTATCCCGCATCGAGATTGTGCCAAACAAATTCCACAGTCGCCAACAACGAGCAGCTCTTCATAGCCTTTTCACCTTCGATCTCCATGAATCTGTGAATATTCAATTTCTCATCCCAAGCCCTTAAGGAAAGAAGAGTGCCAATCTCCTCGTTAAGATGGCTAACTAGGATACTTCCGAAGCTCTCGATGATCTCACACAATTCCGGACCGTATAGGAATTTCTCTTCTCCAACTCGCTCTACTCCCTTCGCAGGGCGTCGGACTTGCTCGAGGTATTGATCATATCGGTTAACACCCTCGTCGAAGAGACGGTGTTGCTGGACATTTCGTTCCATTATGTCTTTGCCGTTTAGGGCTTTGTCAATCTCGGGGAAAAAGCAGTTCTCCTCCCCTTGGTGGTGCATATGGAGCAAAATTGACCATTCCCTGGCATAGTCGACAAAGTCGTCTCGGGTTTCAACGTCGACTCTATTCTCGGGGGTAATGGCTGAGATTTTTGTAGGTGCTACATTTCGCGCCTGGAGGTAAATAGAGTTGAGACTGCGGACGATCACGTTGTGGATGCAACTCATCGCAGTGGCACCTTTGATGAAATTATCATCCTGTAAGACACAAGAAAAGGATTAGCTCCGGTCAATTCATATATTATGGACTTGTTGATTCCGAAGGCATACCGCTCTTCCAAGAAGCTTCGCAGGTGACTGAATGAGAGGGAAAGGTTCCCCCGGAGTTGTCCAAACAGGATAATTTCCTGCAGTCCAATGTTTTATCTCCTCTTGTAACTCCGGAGAGAGTGTTTTTGCTTCGACTGCCATGGGAATTGCTGAAATATGGAAATCTATATCCTATAATAACTAGAACGAGTCTCGTATGCTGGCGGATTGAGTGTCTGCACTGTTATATAGAATAATGAGATGAAGGAATCAACTCCTGTTTTATATCATGAGCTCGAAGAATCTTCTTGCCTCCATTCGGATGCTGTAGCCCAGTGACCAAAAATGCGATAGGCTGTCGAGCCCAACACTTTGTATTGTCACATGGATCGTAATATTGGTGCCAATTGAGCTGTGCTTATGGGCAGATTTATTTCCGCATTCGGAAGTGAACCCTGGCTTTGGGCTGAACAAATGGCTTTCTTTCCTCTAAGACATGTGCCGTTTCCGTTTACAGGCCTTGGTGAATTGAATCTATAAGTATCTCCACTATGGTAGTAATTTATTTTTTCTAGTCTTCATTTGGATCCTGTAATAAGAGTAAGAACTTGAGTGCCTAAGCAGATCTTCATATATGTCATCCTATTTTTTTATCAAACTGTTTCTTACCTATGAACTATCTGAGTAGGAAAAGCTTGTTTCTAAAGTTAGATATATAGGCATAATTAAGCAAGCCACTACTTCTGCAGCTTACAATCTTTAGTTGACCCTTTAAAGTAGTATATGTATTGAAACTTGACTACTAGTAGTCTTACAATACCTTGGACATATTAAAAAAAGGGTCTACTATACTGACCCTACAAGTTTATATATTTAACAAACTTATATATATCTTTAGTATAGCTAGAGAGCTAGAGAACTAGGAGTTAACTTATTGACCTCAAAGGTACTATCATAATATACTAAGGCAATTATTAATGTAACTGGCTAGGTAAAAGGATTTTCACTAATATATTTAAAGCTAAAAGCGATTTCTTATTTCCTCTCTAGTTTTTGCAACTTATAGAAATAAACAAGCAATTCTTAATTCAAGTCAATTATTTCTTCATCTTCCTATAGGAGTAGCTTTGTTTTACCATATTTTAGTAATTTATTACGCTAAATGTCAAGGCCGGATCGAGGAGTTTTATGACGGTGGAGAAGAAGTCAAAGGAGTATGAGAGTGTGGTGAGTCCGAGGCCGGTCACCGGTTGGGCCCGAAATTTAGTGATGTCGACGTGGTGAAGGGTCGAGCGAAGAGTTTAGTGTGCAGGGTGATTATAGAAGAATCGTTGAATATTTTGCATGATCCTGGAAAGAGCTATCTCAAAGCTTCCGGTAGAAATGGCGAAGACTGATTAGTTCGGAATATAGAATTAGTACTAGGAACGGAATTAGGGTCAACTATATTTTGTGACGGAAGACTCCAAGGTGTGTTCATGGGCCCCTTAGGATTGATTGACTGCGTTGAGAGCTATGGCACTTTGATGCACAGTAGTTCAAGAAGGTAGAAATGACCATACAATATAAAATTTTTTAACCTAAGAGTCTAGCTGAAAAACCAATAATCTATTATACCTAGGGTATCTTGAGATAAAGCAAGCCTTTTAAAGTTAGTGTAGGAGCTATAAACTAGTATGGCAGCTGTAGAGAAGAGGACTAGTATCATTTCAAAAATAGTAGTCTACAAAAACTCTATACAAAACTAGAAAAGGTAGAGGCCAAATCGGGACTCTCTAGTATGACTTTCTAAAAAGGTAATCAAGTAATGCTAGGCAAAATAATTGCGGAATACCTGTTTAGTGCTGCAGATGGAGACTTTATCATGTGGTAACCCACCGCAGTACTACAAAGTACTCTCGATACAAGCATATCCTCGGGACGGGTGAAGATATACTTATAACTGTAAGATTACGAGGTTATATGAGCGAGGAATCTTGAATAGAGAAAAGTTCGTGTATTCAAATGATAACGGAGCGCTCTTAAGTATCGCTATAAGTCTTAATGCTTACGGTCCTAGTGCTCTACAAAAAGGTCTATCTATGTAGGTGCGATCCAGCTGCTTATATGTGCCCTTTCGCACCGTCACTTTCCCTTGTGGTAATCCTTGCATAATCCCTGTTTACCCCAGTATACCGTCACTTTCCCTTTCTGGACAGAGGCGAGAGTATTTCCTACAATAACCAATATATGCTTATAACTAGAGAAATTTTATAATTGGGTAGGAAAGCCTGCGGAATGACATGATGAATACTAGTCATGCATACAAATAACAGAGAGACATCAGGAAGAGGAGGAGGATGCTCTGGAAGGATCAAAAAAATCAGTTATATATTCTGCGCTGGACATGCTGCCGCCTGCGCTCCATCTCAAGAATCTCGTTCTTTTTTTCTCACGCTTGAGTGCATCTTGGAGTTGGACGAGGGGTCACCTTGAAGCGAGAAGAGCAGCAAGCCTTCAATCGTCCTGCACGGTGTTGTCGCCGGTACTCTATTTGCTAGCACAATGCACTTATAGGTAAATTTACTTGCAGAACTGACAGTGAGAAGCACAATAGTAAAACTTCAAATAGGACGGTTTTTCGAGAAGCTGTTCATTCCCAGTCGATTATTCAGAAGAATCCTATACAACCCTGAGCAAATTCTTCTGGAGACCTTGCATAGGTTGCATATTATTTCTTCGGAATATCAATAGATCCACAAAACTAGTGCACTACGTTAATCCAAGTTGTTTAATATAATGAAGAGGCAATCAATAAATCTGCCACACCAAGTGCATGGTGCCATGGTGCCACAACTGGAAGTTTATTTCCGGCACCATTGTAGCATATCTCTGTTATGAGATTTTGTAGGTTACTCCTGTACAGAGTAGTGTTGGCGCCGATGGCCCTCTTGCTACACTCTTCAAGT